TCTTTAAAGTACTAACATGTTTCTAAAATGTAGACTTAGAACAGATAATCAGAGATGGAAGCAAGGTTATTGGAACTATTTAAATAGCACAAATAGTATATTAAAATACTCACACACTATGGGAAAATTATATTGTGTATGTGAATGTGATTTGGCCTAAAGAAGTTCAGCTTTTCCTAGAATAGTCAAGAAGTTAATTTAAATTTCTTGAAGCAAAAGAATCATATGACAGTGACATATGCGCACCTATGTTTATAGCAGCACAGTTTGTAATAGCTAAAACATGGAAACAGCCCATTTGCCCATCAGTTGGAAACTGGATAAAGAAGATGTGGTTTTTCTATAAAATGGAATACTACTCAGCCATAAAATTTGAGAAATAAGAGTGATCCATAGGAAAATGGATGCATTTTGAGGATATACTCCTAAGTGAAATAGATAAGTCACACATGTGTAAATACTGAATAGTTTCTCTGGTGTGAAAAACTATAATAGTACACAAGATCCTAATGGGATAATTAACAGTGCGAAATAGGAAGAAAAGGGCTAAAGGTGTAGGGAAAGTGGAAAGGGTAGGGGAAAGGGAATAAGGGCAAAGAAAAAAATATGAGAAAATGAAAAAATGGAAATAAAGTGTTTGTAAATGGGGAGGGGAAGAGGGGGGCGAAGGGAGGGCAGGGACAAGGGAAAAAAATGAGAACCAAGGCCTGTCATGTAAAGGTAGAAGATCCCAGTAATGAATGTAACTGTACTGTATACCTAGAATGTACCAATAAACTCAATAAAAGCAAAAAAAATTTCTTGAAGTATAATATATAAATATTCAATGTAAACAATTATATGAAATTCATGTATATAGGGACTTGTGATTGCACCATTCTGAGAAATACTGCTCCAATGCAGACACAAGAGCAGACAGGATGGAAGGTGGCATAAAATGTCACTTCAGCCATTCTCGCTTACTCTGCTTGTGCTTTCTGTCATTTCACATGCTGGTTACTTCTCATCCTTGAAACTGTGGTCTACGCTGTCTTCTGGCAATTAGAAACTGCAATATTACTTAAGGCTGGGTCCTCTTCCTTTACTCCCACTAAATACTACCCCCCTCACAGAGGTCAGATGTACTTTCATGGGTTCAACAATTGCTTACATATGGAAAACTCTGAGATGTTTCTTTATGGAATGTGTAAGGAATTTTTAGGCTCTTACTTTATGTTAGAAAATGGAAGCTAAATGCCATCAAGTTACTTGACTAATTTACCCATTTAGTTGACATCAGGAAGGGAACATGGGTCTCCAAAACTCTAGTAGCCAGTTCTCTTTTATACAATACTGGCTGGAATCTCACCTGGTCTTTCATATCCTACCCTTTTATTGGAATTCATTATTCCAATATCCCAAACCATATTTTTTCAGTTTTTGTCTCAAATCAGCTTCAGCATCAACATCTCTCAAGGTTATCCTCCTGTGAAATCTTAAAATTATCTTTTAAATCTTTTTTTACTATCTAAATGTAATCAATAAGAGGATTTTGGAAAGGATGACATATTGAAATTATTTCCTTCTTTCAAAGACAAATGCAAATACCAGATCTTCAATGAAATCCTCCAAAATAATTTATATTGATTTCTCTTTCATCATTATTTTAATCATTATTTTAATACGTAATCATATATCTTACTTAGTCACTAATGACAAAACTCTAAATTGATTTTTATTTATCATAAGACCTACAAAGTTGACATAAAGTGGATCCTTGACTTACAAACTCAATAGTTCCCAAGGGCTGGTTGTAAGTCAATATAACTGAGATCTGGATGTTTACCTGGGTTCATGTTATAGATAACAAGAGGCAGATGAATCTTCCACTAACCAAATTAACCCAAGTTTTCTTATGTCAGGCTGGGTATAATTTGAGGGTCTACTGTATATGATATGTATTAAATAAATTCTCATTATATTTCATCATGCTTCTTTGTAACTTGCTGTTACTAGCTAACAAACTTCCAAAACATGAAGAAGATGCTTTTAAGTATTTCTGTCACTTTAAAATATTAAAAACAAAGAAATTAACTTAGTTATGAAAAAACATTTCTCTTAGAAGAGCATTTTTGTTAATATATTCCTAAAAAAGGTAAATAATAATTATGCATAAAATAAGATGGGTATGGACATAAAATAACTATCAAATATTACATACATCATCAAAATGGGCCATTTAAAATAACCATTTTTTTCTAACACATTTGAATCACACAAAAGTAATTTAAAATGGCAATGGCTTTAAGGGGCCAGTGCTGTCTCATTAGGAAATATCAATTTAGAAATTAGGCTGAATCATGAAATGTATCAGTCCATGAGCCTGTAGGTTGGAGAGAACACTGTTACAGAGTGCAGAGGTCCTAAAAAAGATCATATTTCAATTTCCTACATCCAATCTGAAGAATCATTAATAGGCAAAGACAGCTGATTTTAATCGTTCAGGCTGGTGCACAGGGTGAATGACAATCTCCAAAGTAGAAAATTCTTTTTCTCCTTATAATTAGTCAAAGAAAGTTGACATACTATGGCATATTCATGAGTCTACAGGAGAGGAAGCACATTTTAAAGGAGAGATGAATGAAAAGATAGCAGATGGAGAAAAAAATGGTTTTGATTACAGATGACTAGAAATGAAGGAAAATTGAAATAAGCTATTATTAGGAAGCTGAAATAGTTTGGGCAAAATTAAAAAACATGAACAGCAGAAGAGAAAAGGAAGAAGGTTAATTATAAGAAAATGAACTCATTGTATTATTACCTATAAAATTAGGCTCAAGAACAATAGATAGTGCAATTTCTGCTGATACAAAATATGACTAAAACCAGAGCTATACTTTGAAAGCCACAGAAGACATTCACATTCATTAATTTACTGACACACCTTAAACAGGTGCAAGTATGGAATATGTAATTCATTTTGAAAACTGACTCTTTTCACAAGTTATAAAGAATATAAAGTTTTATATAAAGAATATAAAACTTCTTTTTATTATAAAACAGTTTCTTAGGAAAAGTAAATGCTAGAAAGCTTCTTTTCATCCCTTGTTAAATTTCCTGATATTTGAAAATTGTTTGCAACAAAGAGAATAATATATGCATGAGTAAAATTAATGTACTAAATAAGAAGAAGTACTGGGCAAAAGAATCACATTCAAAACATGTCACAAAATAATTTTCCCTCTTGTCTAAATAGCTCTTAGTCTTAAGGAAAAAATAAGAGAGGATAGTATCAGTAATATGAATTTGTGATTTCTTTAAAAAAATAACTAAGAATGATTACAAAGATGTTTCACAATTTAAAAACTAATAACTAAGAAAGATACCAAAACTAATTCATTCTACCACAAACTGATTCTGAGACCCTCTTTAATGTTAATTTTGCAATCACAGGAGATGCAGCTCAGAGATATTACTGCTCACTGTGACAAGAGGTTCCAAAGGAGATGAATGAGATCATCCTATTGATAAGGTCACAATCGATCTAAAGCAGAGCTTTTTTAAATTAGCAAAATGTTGCAGCAGTTTAGTAAGTGTCATCAACAGCTCTTTTCCATGAAAAATGTACCAGCTTATGGAAAATCTAATTTCGTAAATTAAAAATTTGTCTCATGACAAAAGTGTTCTACCCTTATTCCCCCCGAATCTATTATCATTTCAGAGACATGAATTCTCAAGGATACCTACTTTTATGTTTGAGTCCAGTATAGCCCACCTCTTAAAATAAGTTGTGCCTCCTAATTAATATCAATGTATATGACTAAAAGTATCAAAAGAAATGTTCCTCAAAACATTCATAGATATCAATCTTAAATGCTGGTCCTATCAAAATGAAAAAAAGTTAGCAATACATAAAATGACAGCACTACAAATATAAAAGATCTCTTGACTTAATCTGAAGAAAGTATAACCGATCCTTTACTTTTCTTGGGAGGAAGAAAGTAGAAAGAAAAAGAATCTTAGACAATAAAGGAAGTGGCATAAAACTATAAAAAATATAACCATCATGTGTTAGGAGCAATCAATTTTTTCTCCTTCAAGAAAAAATAATCACAGAAACTTCTATATATACACTTATACGGATGGATAGATGGATGGATGGGAGGAGGCATGGATAGAATTTTATTCTTAAAAGGTTTAGAAAATGATTCTCAAAATGGAAATCTACTACAGAATTCTGAGATACATGTTAAAAATTTTGGTTCTTGGAATCTCTGTGGGTATAATAAAGAACGTGCAATATTATTATGCTTCCCAGGGAATTTTTCACAACATGATTTCAGAACTGTTACAGTGGGATTTCACTGGCTACTTCCCTTGCATCCTGCATGGCATTGGTAACATCTATTTTTCTTTCTAAAGACATACATATGGTGATGAGAGTTCAGATAGGTCAAAGGCACTAACTTTAGCTCTGTCCGTTGTCTTTGTCCACTTGTCTTTGGGCAAGATACTAAAGCTGAGATCTTGCTTCTGAAAATAATGATTTTTAAGACTTTACAGAGATACTTTAGGGATTAAAAAAATATTTATATTGAGTGTAACACAGTGGTCCCTGAAAGATACTATAATTATTTCAATCCCTACAGTGACAATTAACTTGTTCTACAGCTGAGGTCTAGAGAATATACCTCAAAACAGCAACCAATGAAAGAAACTATTTTTATTAATATCTCACAAAATTAATTTTGTGGGGGTGGGCAAGAGCCTAACTGGACAGTATAAGAAAAAGTACTGAAAAGTTGGTCTTGATAAATTTTTGTGTTTTATCAGTGATTAATTAAAAACTGATAGTTTTGAGAAAGTGGCAAGTTAATTTGCATAGAATTCACAACTAAAATTAGGACATAATTTGCCACCTTGAGGACTTGAGATTGATTTCTTGAATTTTAAATTCACATGGTTTCACTGCCTTGCTCTTGATTATTCCTTTCTGCTCTTGTGTTTCCTCAACTTTTCAGTGTCACTGACTAAGAATCCTTACAGCAGAAGTATATCCTGAGGGGGACAAAGAGCCTTGGCTTTACAAGTAATCCAGGTGAGGACAATGGGGACAGAGGCCCAGAAGAGTGGGAGTAAACAGCATCTGGTTCCACACTGTTCTCTGTGTTCAGCCAATTAGTGTGATCAGGAAGTAACATGCTAATAAACAGTTCCAACACTGGAACGGAGTGAAAGGAAAACATGATTTTTTTTACTTGTTAGAAAAATCTGGTTTTAGGCCAAATTGCAAAAAAAAAAAAAAATTCAGAAAAGAGAATCCTTAATTCTTATTAAGAATATTCATTTAGAAGTCCATTATTTTTAAAAAGTACTACACTCAAAACTGGAATTGATGAGAGAGAGAGTTGCACGTCATTTTTCAGAGCTTCAAACAGATTTGAATGCATCGGGGATATTTGACTATATGTGCATATGCATGTGTGTATTTAAAACAAAAGTAAATACTTTCAGTTGTATTTTGGCTGTAGAGAGAACAAAGTATGTATATGTTTAAAATATCATTTTGAAAGAAGCTTCCCAGTTAGTTGTAGGACTGAGAAGAAAACCAAATTTTAAAAAATGAACCTCCATTTCCTGTTTTCCCAGTGTGATGACCAGTGGATCCTGTTGTGGGGCAGACATCAACACGTGGAATATATCCTTCAGTATCCATGGGACTCAAGCATCCTGTTCAGAGGGTAAGGCCCTACGCCAATGTAATAATATTTTAATTGTTGATATTTTAACTGTAGAGAAAATGTCCATGCTGAAACACTTCTATGGTCATATAATACAGATGAACAGCATAATTCTCTCTCTTACAACTATGAGTCAACTGTGGTACCGGACACAAGGAGTATTGAAATAAGTGAATCATGATTAGAAATAAAAAGCAAAAAGATAGCCCAGGTTCTGCTTGTTAGTTGTTCTCATCAAACAGATAGAACTGCTTAAATTTATTGGTAAGGAAATGGGGAAAAATACTTTTTAAATAACTTTAAAGATCTTCTTCCCTTTGTAGTCATGAAGGTTTCCCTTTATTTAGCTTTAAGACTCTTATGAACTAACAAAAAATCTTTACTCTCAGAACTAAAGATGCACTATATGGACCTCAGAGTGGTCTGCACTGTAGCCAGCTACAAAATTTGAGAATCTACATTTCATAATAGTTTTTCCTATTAGTTTTTTAGAAGAAAGCAATGTCTAAACTATCTTTCCCTATACAGTTAGGATAGCTAGAAGTTAACTTGTCTTTAAAAAGCACCGTAACATAAATGACTTAGCTTTTATATGTTTCTCTCTTCTATGGAATAGTGCAAAGGCTTTAAAATACAACTTACATAGATGCTCTTGACATATCTCTAAATAACATTTTCTTTTTTCAGGCCATGTTTTCCAAGATATTATAACCACCAGCTAATAAATACTCTGTGACCCATTCTGCTTATATTAGGCAGGATTGTGCTGATATCTGAGTTAAAAGATTAACATTAGAAATGAAATAGAAAATAATACGGTCATAAAGCTAAAAGGATTAAGAATAAAACATTGCTTTATATTCTAAATTTTGTGTGGGCTATTGCTCATGTTTCAAAATTTTACATTTTTAACTTACAAGTGATAGATCATTCATTTTCTTAAAATAAATTCTGCCATATTAGAGTTTAAAATGTCAAGTATGGTCAAAGTTCTGTGGAAATTAGTGTAGATGTGAACATCACGTGCTTTAGCATTAGGACGTGACTTGAATTATGTGGTCTCCATGGTAACAGCCTTGGTGCTTACATCAAAGGGCCCTCTCTTACATGCACCATACGCCATGATATGTTTGGTGTTTGGGCCATGGAATTGTTCTGCTTATAGATGGGTGCCTTCTGCATTCAGGGCTTGTCACTAACTTTAGGGATGCTGATAGGTGAAATTTATAAATCAGAGCATTAAGTATAGCTGAGTAAAAAGAACAATTTGTGCAAAGAGTAAAAAGGGATATTGGAAAATAATTTAGAAGTATTTTAAGTATTTTCAATTTACTTTTTGTCATGTACACTGAAAACTAACGTGTTTTAAGACATGACCATTAATTAACATACAGAACTGTTGTATAATCACACAAGTGCTGCATGTGCACGCGCGTGCATGCACACACACTCACACTTTATTACTGAGATGAGTTTTATTTCTGTTCATATTTGGCAATTGCCTCACATGCCTTTCACCTGGTTCTAATCAACCTCATCCTCCTTTTCACTAACTCATCAAATTCACCAGTTTATTTGCTTGGTACATTTCAGTGGCTACACTGTGCAAATCATGTTAACCACTCATCTTGTTATGTATTTTAATAGGACAGCCTTTTATTATGTAAAAAAGTTTATATTCCCAGATGACAGAGTTTTACAATAGTTCTTATAACATGGGGACTGAGCCTGCCATTTGTTACTAAAAACATTTTAGTTTTCAGGTCCTTTGCAACCAGGTTGTGAATGAAGCAGAATAGAGCTTAGAGGAGTTTGCTGGAGTTGTAGCTAGAAATGGTTTCTGTTTTCCCTGAATCTTTCACACAGTATTTTCTCATTTGTGGAACTAACATGGTCTCACATAGAAAAGAAAAGCTCTGGGAAGTTTATTCGGCTCTTTGTAATAAAATACATACTTACTTCTGAAGACTGTTTCAACAGATCTGTTCTCAGTGATTAAAATTAATCTGTTTAATGTGTAATAGGAAGAAAAGGGCTAAAGGTGTATGGGAAGTGGGAAGGGTAAGGAGAAAGGAAATAAGGGAAAAGAAAAAATTATGAGAAAAATGGAAATAAAGTTTTTGTAAATAGGGAAGGGAGGAGGGGGTGGAGGGACAATGATGAATGTAACTGTACTGTATACCTAAAATGTACCAATAAACTCAGTGAGAAAAAAAATTAGTCTGTTTATCCTCCTTTCCATTTCACAGACAAGTCCCTGGGCCTTATTCTGTTTTGGAAACTGATATTTAAAAATGAGAATGACATGGACAGAAAGCAAATTTGGAGAGATTTGTAGTTTCTGTTGGGTCTCAATTTCTTTTTGGCTTTTCTCCTTTACATACTGCTGTACATGTAGGGCATAGCTTATTCATTTACTATGGTTCTGGGATACAACTTGTCCTCTCTCTACATAACATTTCTTATTTCACCTACTTCTCAATAATTGAAAATTTTTTCTAAGTAAGTGAAAACTACAGATTAAACAATCTGAACAGTACAGTGGACCCCCAAGTTCCAACTGGCCTAAGAACAACTCGAGTTAACTGGAGAATTCATCTGCCTTTTGTGATCTATAGTATACCCAGGTAAACACAGATCTCAGCTATACTGACTTACAGCCAACTTGAGTGACAACCAGCCCTTGGGAACCAATCAAATTGGTAAGTCAAAGGTCCACTGTATTACCTGAGTTTGACAGGCTAACCTACAACCAGAAAATGTGAAAATGTTAACACTGTACCATCTATTCAATAACTATTTACTTTCTCCTCCTCTACACCAAACACTGTCCTAGGAAGAAATAGGGATACACATATTTACAAGTCACAATCTAAAACTTTAGGAGCTCCAATTATAAAAGTAAAAAAGAATAATTAAGTATATATTCCCAGTAGAGTATGAGGAAGGTAAGGAGAAGGTACGCACGAGTGCTTATAGAGGGACATGGGAGTGACAGGTAGGCACTGCCAGAAAGTTTCACAGAAGAAGGTGAGATCTGCTAAGTAGTGATAAGAGCCAACCTGGCTTGATGTCCAAGTTGGGTAAAGGCACTTAAGACTAGAGAAACAATATATGCGAGAGGTACAGACATGGGAACACCAAGTGCAGTCAACTTCTGACTAAGCAAAGTAATGGGGAGGGAGTAGGGCAAGGACAGGGGAAAAAGTCACATGATTCACACTCATGGTTAAAACAAAATGAGTCAAAACCCAGCATGATATGGATAAATTCAACTAATATACAATACTTTTCCTGATAAATATTTTATCTTTTTTTGGGGGTGGGGGTTGAGACAGGGTTTCACTATGTAGTTGAGACTGACCTGGAACTCACTATGTAGCCCAGGCTGGTCTCAAACTCATAGCGATCCTCCTGCCTCAGCCTCCTGAGTGCTGGGATTATAGGAGTGAGCCACCACGCCCGGCCAAAAATATTTTATCTTTTAAAAGACACTTTGAAAGTGCTTGCATTTGGCTACAAGAAAAGCTACTACACAGTTGCACAGTTTTCTCAGCTAAACTTTTTTATTTCAAATGATCAGGAGATGGTGGTATATGGAGATTAGTGAGAGTGCAAAAAAGAAAGGAAATAGGCTTTTGGGATGTGGAAAAGAAAAAGATCAACATTGCTATACTGATTAATAATAATTAATTTATTAATCTTTTATAGCAATGTGACTCATAAGAGTGAAATGCCTTTGGAATAATAAATGTGAACACAATACTATATTCACTATAGATCTGTTATATATATTGCTGTCTAATTCTTTGAAGAGAATTATTTTGACATTAAAAAGACAATATATAGGGCCGGGGATTTAGCTCAATGGTTCTGCTGCCTGCCTTGCAAGCACAAGAACCCGAGTTCGAGGCTGGGTACCAAAAAAATAAAGACAATATATAATTTAGGGTAAAGAAAAGGTTCTAAACAGTGGTGATGATTATACAACACTCTAAATGCACTTAATGGCGCTAAATTGTACACTTCAAAGTAGTTAAAATAATTTTTGTTATGCATTTTTGCCAAAATAATCACTGAAAATATGAAACTACCTAAGGTTATAACTTACAGTACACTAACTTTTATGTAGAGTAAAACAGCAATAATGACATTTAGCAACCCATGCTTTTACTGTGTCTATTAACATCTTACTATAGAAGCTGTTACTAACTGTTGACCATATATTTTGTTAGGTCAGCCATACAACATATGCTCACTGGTATTGTTATTATTCCCATGTATGTATGTATGTATGTATGTATGTGTTTACTTTTTGCCCTTGTCATTAGTTTTTAAAGCAATGTTCTCACTAAATTGCCCAGGTTGGCCTCAAACTTGTGATTCTCCTGACTCAGTCTCTGCAGTGGCTGGGATTACAGGTATTTGCTACCATACCTGACTTACTCCTATTTTAAATAGAAGAATACATACTAGTAAGATAGGAAATACAATTTACATGCAGAATTTGTAAGACCTTTACACAGAATTTATTACTATTACTCTGAATGCCAAGTGGAATTTTGATGTTGTTTCTTATGCTACTAAATGTATTTAAAAAGATATTTATGAGCTACTTTCTAAGGAACTAAGTATCAGAGGGAATGTTAAGTTTTTTTCTTTTCTCTTTTTAATTTTTATTAGTTTATGTTTGCAGTACCTAATTATTATTCATGGTAGGGAACTGGTACCAGCACATAACATATCTTGCTTTTTATTATCCCCTAACCTCAACCTTGTCTTTATTTCATCAGTGTCATATTCATTTATTTATAAGTCATTATAATGTTAATTATTATATATACAGATTAACAACTAGACTAAAAAGCCAAAAAAATATATGCAATGTGTAAGACAATTATAGTATATTACTTTGAGATATACTGTCCATGCCGGATAACAATAACTTTGTTTTCCTCTTTTTTCCCTATTATCTCTTTTATTTATTTTATATATTGAGCTTTTCATAAAAGAGAAACCATGTGATCTTTATGCTTGTGTGTCTGATTTATTTTATAACATTATGGTCTCATGGTGCATCCATTTTCCTAAAAAATTACTCAAGTTTATGCTTCTTTATAGCAGAATAGTACTCAATGGTGCATA